GCTAAAAAACCCATATAACCTGATCAATTCGGTTAACCCAATGTTACAACCTCATATAAACCATCATTCCAACACAATGCTTAATAACATAATAAACATGTATACAATACAATACAAGTTCCAATACATACAACAGACAAGTCAAAACTATACATATAAGCAAATGAGTCTGAACTCAAACAAAAGTTGATATAACAAAAACTAATACGACTGTCAGTCATAATTTTCCTTTGCCCTTATTTTTCACCCTGAGTTGACCTGCAAAATAAATTTTACAACAACTGAGGATTAGACCAAAGGGTCTAGTGAGTGATTTCCCTCGTATAAAAATTTCCAAATTTATAAAAATGATAATAATAATTTCAATTTAGATTTCAATTGTTAAAAATGTTGCAGTTGTTCTGTCATTTATTGCAGATAAATTTGTCATTCATCGCGGCTGCTCCGTTATCTGATTCAGATATCTTGCCCCGCTATCGTTTTTCGACGGATATTTCCGCCGGTAATCTAACCGTATCTAAAAATTATTATTATTATTATTATTAAAATTATTATAATTACTACTAAAATTATTATTGTTGTTGTTATTATTATTAAAACTATTATTATTATTATTATTATTATTATTATTATTATTATTATTATTATTCAAATTATTATTATTATTACACGATCTATACGATCCACTAAAATCCACTACGATCTATTAAAGTCCAACACAATCCATTAAAGCCCAACAGAATCGTTAAAGCCCAATAGAACCATTAAAGTCAAATACGATCCATTAAAGCTCAATACGTTCCGTTAAAGTCCAATCGAACCGTTAAAGCCTAATACGATCCGTTAAAGCTTGATGCGATCCGTTAAACCCCAACACGAAATATTAAATCCCAACGCAATCTATTAAAGCCTAATACGATCCATTAAAGTCCAATGGAACCGCTATAGCTTAACTAACATCCCCTAAAGCTCAATACGATCGATTAAAGCTCAATAGAACCATTAAAACCCAACTAACATTCATTAAAGTCCAATACGATCAATTAAAGCCCAATACGATCCATTAAATCCCAATATAATTTATTAAAGCCCAATACGATCCATTAAAGCCCAATAGAATCTTTAAAGCCCAGTACAATCCATTAAAGTCCAACAGAAGCGTTAAAGCCCAACAGAAGCGTTAAAGCCCAACTAACATTCGTTAAAGCCCAATACGGTCCATTAAAGCCCAACAGAACTGTTAAAGTCGAACTAACATCCATTAAAGCCCAATATGATCGATTAAAGCCCAATACGATCGATTAAAGCCCAATATGATCTATTAAAGTCCAACACAATCCATTAAGCACAATATAACCGTTGAAGTCCAATAGAACCGTTAAAGACCAATTAACATCTATTAAAGCCCAATAGAACTATTAACACTCAACTAACATCCACTAAAACACAATACGATCCATTAAAGCCCAACAAAAACGTTAAAGCCCAACCAACATCCGTTAAAGGCCAATACGATCCATTAGAACCCAATACGATCTATTAAAAGCCCAATAGAATCGCTAAAGCTCAATATAAAACATTAAAACCCAACTAACATTCACTAAAGCCCAATACGATTCATTAAGAATATATGTAATATTTTACATATATATAAAAAAATGTTTGAAAAATGAAAGAAAAATCAATAATCCGCCGGAAATCAACCGGAAAATATTAAATATTTTTAAAAAATCTTGAAAATTTTATTATATTAAATCCCTCGGAAACTTAAAATAATAAATTTTAATTTTTAATTGTTTCCGGCAGACGTTCCGGTGGACGCTAATCTTAAAAAATTAATTAAAAATCCACCGAAAATCCGCCGGTAAATTAATGTAATTAGGGTTAATATTTTTGTTAAAAAATAATTTGTAAAATCCGCCAGAAATATTGTCGGAATATTTTTACCAGCGGAAGTCAATGAAAGTTGACTTTTTTGCTGGAAATCCGCCGGTAACTTTCCGGCGGATTTTGTCCGCCAGAAAACCCGCTGGAATTACCGAGTTTTCTAATACTGTATACCACATACATATATCAATTACATACATATAAATGTATATGTATAGATATATGTATGTTTCAATTGGCGGTACTAGACGTTAATAACTGATATAATGTCTTTTTGAGCTTTATTGACTCTTAAATCTTCTTACTAAACTATAATGGATCATAGTTGACTTATCAGTAATTATCTCGTTCGTTTTTAAATAAAAAATTAATAAAAAATGATTGTGGCACTTTTAATTTTAAAAGCGTGATGGTATTGATACCAATGGGACGGGCACGGGCGATGGTCCATTAAAAGCAAACTTCACCAATATATATTTATAGTATACATTAAAACTTTAATGATATTTATAAATATGATGGCTTTTTTTTTTCCCGACAATTAACTGTTGTTACAGAATTAAAGTAATTGTATTTAAAAGAAAACCGAAATAAGCTATCATGTTTCAAGATCAAAGAGTACTTTTACAAATAAAGGGTCGTTGATCTAGCGGTATGTGAGTCTTTGACCTCCTAACAGGTTTGGAATTCAAATCTTACCAGAAGTAAAGAGGCGTGTGTTAGTTTTATTTATTTTTTTAATTTATTTCCCATTTTTATATTGTTATTTTTTTATGATTTTTTTCTTTTTCAATGTTAATTCATTTTGAAATCATTGTTTTTTTTAATCTTATTTTCAACAAAACATGTAATTTAATTTAAAGATAAAAATCGATTCTATTTGACGAAAAAGCATTTTATTAACCATAAGGGTGGTACTTGATTGGTTTGAGCTTGGCTCTAAAGGTCAAAAGTACTAGGAGGTCTCAGGTTCAAATCCAAGGAGAAATAAAAATTCTCTTGTGGCCACGGATGTTCAAATGCGGTGACTCCGGGCTATCTGCAAAGCAGATGGTTGCCCTGGGATTAGTCGGCTCGCATAGCGGGTTGGATATCTAGGTTAATAATAAAGTCGACACGATTAACTTTTCTCTAAGTCAACCTGTGTTGACTTTCTCTATAGGTCAAAATGCGATTTTATATATTTTGATCCTTTTTAATTTCCACGCTTAAGAAAAATTGGGTACGCGATTAGTAATTAATATTCCTGGTTTTTATAAATAGGAACCAATTCCATTTAACTTTGATATATGGATTAATACAAAAATTTGTAGATTATAGAATTGGTCCTTGGGGTATGCTGAGTTTTACATATTTGGTCCTCAGACTTCTTTTACTACGTTAAATGCCTTGTACTATGCACTTTCTGTTGGCTCTAGTCTTTAGCTCAAAAGATTGCCTTCCAAGTCCGTTACAATAAGAGAGAAAATGGTCTTTTGCCGTTTTTTATGTTAACGTTCTAAATTAATATTTTTTAAATCAAGGGCTAGAATGCATATATTGAAACTTGGAAGGCAAAAAAAACTTCATTTATTATATTATATTATATATAACAGAGAGAGGGGCAGGTTACGTTACAAACCGTTCAATTTATAAAAAAACTATGCAAACCACTTTCGACCAATAGAAAATTTTCGTTTTGTTTTATTTAATTTTAATAAGGTATAATGCTCATTTTATCGTATATTGATTAATATTGGAAGTTAATAATTACTGTTAATTATGGAAATGTATTAATGGAAATGTTTCATATGGAAGGAGGTTAATCTTTTTTCTTAATATAATTTTCTTACCATTAATATTTTTTATTATTTTATTAAATTATACTTATTAAAATATGAATTGTAAAAGCAGTAGAATATGAAATATGTGTTTATTTTCATCCATATTTTGGGTTGATTATAGCTTTGGTCATTGTGGTATACATTGTGTTTCGTTTTTAATCTATGTGGTTTACAACCGTAAAAAGGTTTGTTAAATAAGATAAAAGAAAAAACCGAAATGCTCCTCCTTTAAAAAGTAAAAATATAATACAAATTATGCACACACACATAGGTGTTCTTTCCCTGCTAACCTCCCCATCTACAGCGAAGCTCTTTCTTTGTCGTTGTAGCTGCAGACCATCATTGCTTCCTTTTCCCTCGTGACAGTTGCATTGACATAATCTACATTCAACAGGGGCTGATGTTGTAGGAGCGTATGGCATTCAGAAGTGACAAGTTTAGGTTTAGTTTGTAGTCACAAGTGCACACAAGGTATATCAGATCTTGTTAGAGTGTGATCACACTGTATTTACAAACTATAATAGTATATTAACAAAATGTTCATAACGTGTTCAGCTTGTGTGCACATTCAGTTGTATGTGCTCGTGTATGTTACAAGAGAAGGGAGAGGAAATAGAAGATGAGATAGACGAAAAATAAGAGAGAAGAGAGGTTTTTAAAATATAGAGTGAACTTTAATTTTGGTCCTTGAGGTTTAGTGGAATCTTAGAAAGTGGACCTGGACTTTGATAACTTTAGAAATCGTCCTCATAGTTGTCATTTGGCTCTAAAAGTGATCAATGGTCACTAACTCTGTTAAAAAAATTTGTTAGAGGGAAGCGTATTTCTGTTGTTGTTTTTTTGTCTTTTTTTCATTTTTTTCTCTTTTTTTTTTCTTCTTATTTTCATAGCAACCATCAAACTCTAAGGATCAACTGAGTTAACAAAACTTTTGTTATTCTGTTAGAAAAAGGAACTCAATGAGTGCAAAAATGTCAACCAGGGTCCCATATATGTATTTATTTTGGGACCACTATGGGGAGAAAACATAAACCACATGGACCAAATCCATAATTTACACATAATCGGTACCAAGATATCATTTCACATGATTTTTATTTATCTAATGCTTGAATTTAAGATATTTATTAACATATATTTGTTTGTTAATGTAAACTTTTTTACGTGTATTTCGTATATTACAAAAACATAAAAACATTTCATACTGTAAAACAAATTTATGGTAATGAATAACCTTAGATGAAAAAGAAATCATATGAAATAACAAACGACGCTCTGATTCTAACGGTTTTTAACCTTCTTTGTGGTTCTTAGAGGTTCTCATGGTTTGCAACTAGTTACCAACATAGAGATAGAGGACATGCCACCAAGATCTTGAGAAGGTTAATTGGTACCAAGATATGGTTTTCAACTTCATGCCTTTGATGCTTTCAGCATACAAAGAAGATGACCCTACTATATAGACTTTTGCTAACAAGAACAATCAAGAGTCTGCTTTCCACCATCCTCCAACACTAACTAATCACCCACAAACCAATCTCTTTTGAACAAACCCCAAACCCTAAATATTCCTCAAATCATCATGTAAATAACAGCTGCAAGTGCCACCAGAAAATTAGACTTCAGTTTCAGCGGTTCTTGAATGCTGAAAGCTGCCGATGATAAGGCTTTTTGTGGCCTGAAATGCAAATGGAATAAGTTAATAAATTGGTGGTTAATCTTTGATCCAAGATACATACCAAATGTTTAAGAGGTTATACTTCTGAAAGTGGCTGAGAGCACCACAGAACAGGACATTATCAGGTGGTGGTGATTCTGTTTTCTGGCCATCGTCTTCAGGGTTGATGATTCTCATATAAGTTTCTTGACCAAGATACCATCTGTCAAGATTTACTGCCCTAAGGTTCCATGCTCCAACATTATCAAGATAAACAAGTATTGCAGTCCATCCTCCAGGGAAAACCTACAAAAATTCAACAGTTTTCTTTTAGATATTAATGAAAACAAGCAACAAACCACATAAACATACTCTATCACCCTTATAAAGAAGGAACCTGGGTGGTAGAGCGTGCTATTGCATCCCATCGGTTATAAGAACCCCTGCTGTTTTCTGTCCATTCCCCATATGCCATCCTGATTTATAGGATCCCGTTGTTAACATAAACATCTCAACATTCATGGGTAACTTAGAAAAAACAAAGTGAGAAAACGGGAGGATGGAAATATACCCAACAACAAAAAACGAATAGCCATCCATATGAAAGCTTTGAACTACGGTGTCATTGTTCTCCAATATGATCTCTACGAAACCTTTATAGGTAGCATTGATGAGGGATCTGTCCATGATAGGAGGTCTATTTAGTGGCGTATTTGGGAAGTCAAGCTTGTAAGATCCCTTCAGATTATAAGTGTCTGCAAGCCTCACTGGTGTATTAGGATTCACAAATGAAATCCCATTAAATGTAGCACGACGTTTCCCATCAATTGTGACAGGTGGAGCACTCCTTAACACATACACATCTGTCACATTAATAGAACCATAGCGAAAAGAACCTTGTGGGTTTGGACGAGCTCCACTCGCTGTGTTGTTCATCCTGATAGACAAGAGACATGAATTGCAGCTGGTTTCTTCAAGCATCAAAAAGGAAAGAAGGAAAGAAAATAAGAAATAAATAAGAAAGAAAGAAACCTGATGGACATAGCCTGATTCAATGCAAAAGAATTGTCAAATACATCATTTGGAGGGTCGGGAAGAGGACCAGATGCCTGTCCTTTGGCGTTTGAATAATGCAAAATAGCAACTCCAGTAACTCTTTGCCATTCTGATTGATTCACAAATCTGGCACTTGCAACAATATAGTAATCACTACTTGCATTCTGATCCATGGTAACCAAAAAGGAGTATGACTGTCCAACATGGATATCCAAGCTAGTATAGTTTTGTTGGGATGTATAATGCCCCTCTGCTTCTGCTAAAAGTAAATTATGACTCTGAATCCTAAAATTTAAACAAGTTGAGACTCCAACATTGATCACACGAATTCGATAAGTTTTCCCTGCAGTAGATAGCACATACCATTCAGAACTACATATACAGAAGAGGTTATAAAAGAGAATAACCAGAAAGAGTGATCCATTTCAAAAGAAAACTCTATAATTGGACTTTTGAGGTAATAGAAATACTATTTGAATTCAGAAAAATGAAAAATCTAGTCTATGTAACAAGTTCTAATATTATTGTATTTATAGTATTCCCTAAAAAACATAGCTATCAAATTTTCACCAAAAAACTGAAGAAACACATCAATTTGAAACTATATATTGGCGTTAGGAATAAAAGTACCTATTTCGTAAGGGAGGGAGTATAACGGTGCCAAACAGCATTCATATTTCTAACTTATTCCGTAAATGTTGCCATCTATGTGGTCATATAATATAAACTTTGTGTGATCTTTAAGTTGAGCAACAGGCCAACAAGATCAATGCTAATGGCTTCTTGCAATCCACATAAATTAATAGCCAGTGCATCAAACATTAATGTTACAGGTTTTCGTATAGGAATAAAAATTGAAGTTTTAGGTGACATGGTTATAGCATAAACCGGAATCAGAAGGCATCTTACCTGGATCAACATTAACTGTCTCATGTTCGATGCCATCTGGTACAGAGGAGTTATATTTAAAAGGTCCCTTGCCATTAATGAGAACTCCATCTGGCATACCAAGCTCTTTCCCATCATCAAGGGATGCTCTCAATTCCTTAATTCACAAAAGATGAACCATAGATTAGACATAAACTTATCGAGATTCCCAATGAGGCGTGAAATCACAAATACACCAGACACAAACCTTATGGCTCCGAGTATACCAATCGCCAATAGTAATGACAATATCTCCATCAGGTGTATTGAATGGCAGTGAGATAATTTTGCGGTTTGTGATGATGAAACCACCAAACCCACCTGCTGCTCGCTGAAAACTAAGAGACGGAACATAATAGTAGCTACCAATCTGATCCTTGACTTGAAACTGATAAGTCCAATTCCATTTTGCAGGAATAGGACAATTAGTGCCAAGCACTCCATCTTGCCAAGATGCTCGCCGCATTTCTACTCCAGGCCTATCAAAACATGATTTTCTAAAGTGGGTATTCATATTAAATGATATCAACCTACAATCGTATGGATGAAGGTAGTTAAACAATACCATGTAATAAGAAGGCTCTCGTCTAATTTGTTCTTGACATTGACAACCACATTGTAATTGGTTGTCACATTTAGTGTTGGGCCTGGAAAATTTCCATTCACTGCAATGACCTGTTTGAGTTCATAAAGAAAGAAAATTCAAATGGAAAGTGATAAATTGTGCAAAAGGTGTTGCAATACAGCTTTCAAATCATGTTAGTACTATATCCTATTGACATTATCCTTCCCTGCTTCCCCCAATATCTGTAATACCTATGACATTCTGTATTTATTATTTGTAGCATTAATAGATTCGTATTCTTCAATTCGTATTCAATACAATTTATACACAATTATGCTCAGTTGCCGTTATCAAACTAGTCTCTGTTACAGAAACTTCTAGAATGAAATCAAAAAGTATTCTTGAAGACGTAAATGTAAGTGAAGCTGTAATAGATTTTCCATTCATCAAGTTGATCTGTATTCCAAAATGCTGAAAAATCTAAGAACACCCTGTTTCGAAATAAACCCAAAACAGTATTAATCAGAAAAAAGAATCAAGATGGATATATAAACCTAAGAAAATACGACCATGACTTCCAGACAAAATCCTAAAAAGATGTTTGGCCTACTCTAAAAGGGGGGGACAGTAAATACAATCCCTGAGATAACTCATGGTCTAATAGTACAGCAATCAAAAGAAAAGAAAAGAAAACCATGTAGACATTTCATCGAACACTTGAAAAACATACATAAAGCATAAGCACCACCCAACTAATCAAAACCCATACTCATAAACACAAAAGAGAGCACATTAGTAGAGAGAAAAAAACACCTGTTGGGGAACACCAAGTGGAGAAACAGTCATATAAGAGAAATCGAGTTCGAAATTTGCAAAGGGATCGCCCGCAAAACAAAGCCTATTAAACAGCAAACCAATGTAGAACAAACAGTATAAAATTAATCCAAATAACGCCATCTTTGAGTTGATTTGCAGTCGATATTCAATGGGTTTGGAGGGTTCTTCACATGATCGAAGAAAGAAGACTCTATTTCAGAATAAAAAACTTGCTTTTCTCCTATCGAAGTTTGTGCGTGTTTTGTGTGTTGAATGAATGAGAGTGCGGCATATGTTTGAGTGTTTTGCCTGTTGCCCTACCAACTCTACCACCTTCATTCTCGTTTAACCGGCATGATATATGCGTTTTATAACCGGCTCCCGACTAAACCGGTTTATTGTATTTGTTAATCAATTACATGTAATAAACTTTGGGAATTCATTATTTGAAATTAAAAAAACAAATTTACTTTATTTTATTTTTTCAAATATAAAGCATTGTTTAAAAATCTATCAGATATCTATACTATACTATATTATAAAGCATTTGATACAATCTTTTAAAAACAACTTTTTAAACATTGTGTACTGTTATATAATACTAATTTATTTAATTTTCAAAATTACAAGTAAGTTGTGGGTAAATACAACTTATTAAAGCTTTATGTTTGAATTCGTGTAACTAACTGCAGATAAACATAATCAAATAGAGGATAAACATCTCATTAAAATATAAAAAATCTAAAATATAATTAGGATAATTATTGAGTTCTAACAGAATACTTAAATATTATCTTTATAAAAAAACATTAAAATTGAAATGTATCTCGCTGAATTGTGCGATTACCCTTCTAGTTTTCTTATAAATTTCTTATAGGATTCTTAAGTTACAATAAAATCTTAAATACCATAAATCACACAATACATATCTATTTTTACGCAAAAGTGAAAGAAAATTAAATGGCTTAAAATCCACATTAATTGAATTGCAAATTTTAGTAGTTACTACTAAATTATGAAGTATCCATAAGATGCTAATTTTAGTAGTTACAATTGCTAAAAGAGTTTTTTAAATATTTAAATTTAATGAATATTATTTGCAATATTATTACGAATTTTTCATATCTCATGAGTCATGACACAACTCTTACATATTTTAAAATGTAACGAACTTTTCAAAATTATTGATCAGTATAATCAAATATTAACTTCAAATTAATAACCGTTACACATCTATATTATATTATAAAACATTTGACAAAAACTCTTAAAAACCATTTTTTATGTATGAATTACTGTTTATTGATGCATATTACTTAAATTCAAGATTACAAGCAAGTTGTGCATAAGTACAACTTATTAAAACTTCATATTTGAATTCGTGTAATTAACTGTCGATAAACATAAACAAATAGAAAATAAACATCTCATTTTAAATATAAAAAATATAAAATATAATTAGGATAATCATTGAATTTTAACAAAATACTTAATTATTATCTCTATAAAAAATTATATTATTAAACCAAAAATAAATTGCTTCATTATTAAATCTAAATTAAATTATAATAAAAAATTTAATTAAGAAAATCACAAAAAACAAGAACTTTTAAACATTTAATTTAATATCAAAGTTGATACATTTTTTTTCAAAATTTTATGATACCTTCAATTTTATATTTTATTCAAAAAATAAAAACATTATTTTTTTTATTAATACATAAAATCGTATTATAACATCGACGTTGACAAAATAAAACAAAATATTAAAATTGAAATGTATCTCACTACATTGTACGAGTACTCTTTTAATTACAAGTAAAGTAGTTGTGACTAAATTAACAAGATTTTTTCAATATTTACAAAAAACAACTTAAACAATTATTGTTATATAATCAATAAATAAAATGAATTTCAAAATTGTGTGCTCAATAAGCAAGAATAAAATTATTGGAAGTAACGATTATCTGTGTAGTGTTTTACCGGTTATGGCCGGTAATTAGAAAAAGTGACCGGCTAATATCGAGGCGGTGTTTTGGTGATTTGTTCCAGTATTTTGTCGTCTCCTAACGGTCATATTTCCTGCCACATCCCACGTGCGATGCAAAACATTCCACACGCTTCCAATTTATGTGTTGCCATTTATGTATTGTTTTAATTTTCCTTTTTAGCCATAAAAATATGAAAATAAGCAATAAAATTATATTTTATTGTTTGGTGGTCTCGATGCAAGGATTTGAAATTGTGGATATCCTTTTTTAGATCAACTCCAATGGTATATTAAAATAGTGTTTTTGTTGTTCTTTTAGGTAGTATTTGATATGCAGATTGGATGAGACATGATAAGACAAAATAAAATGGAACAAGATAATACATGATTAATTGTTTGTCCTATATTTGATACGATTAAGACTGGATGGGACAAAACTTTAAAATTACTATATTATCCATAAATGTTGTTCAATGTTATTTTATATCATATAATTATTGTAAATAATAACAAATTAATCAAAAATATATTTAAGTTATTTATTCTATGATATCAATACTTCTTTTTAACATTCCAAGACCACATGTAAATAACATTTGTCATACCACAAATTTTAAATACGCATATAATTTAAAAAGTTTAAACACGACAATTGTAAATAGCATTTATCACGCAATCATCAAAAGTTTAACATTTCGAGAATGGAGGTTGGAATCCAGAATGGAGACTGTGGAAGAGAAGAAAGAGAATGCAATTAAATTAGGTTTGTATTTTGATATCAAATAATAAGAGCAATATTGTAATCTCAAATTTAGTCTCATATTGTTTTACCTTTTTTGGTGGAACAAAAATAACTCAAGAATGGTCTTACTCAATCTTACTTTTGTCGGATGTTGTCTCATCTCATTTTTGTCCCATGACACCCCAAAATGGGACTATTTATTTTTTGTCTCGTCCCGTACCATCCAGTCTGCATACCAAATGCACTCTAAACGATGACAAACGGAACTTTATTTTACTGGTGAGATGAGAGAAACGATGAATATATTGACATATTATTCAAACAATACAAATATCGTGTGCTTGTAGATGAGGAGATTTCTGATGTCAATGGCTCTACCGGTTTACAAGTTTTTCAGTGCTAGAATTAGAGTTGTTACGAGTATAGTTTTATAAACACTTCACAGAACAAGGTATCAATTTATTATCTCTAGACCGATTTTATATTTTGTTAAAATATTTTTTTCAAGTAAATATGAGATTATAGATGTACATCTGTGTTTTCATTCTAACTCTTGATTGATTTATAAATGTTTTTTTTTTCTATGATGTAATTTTCAGGTCAGCTAACGTGTAGCTCGATTGTTATGGAGTTCTGAGATAATAACCAGATTAAATATCTAAATGGCTCTGTCATTTTATAAGATCCCTTCATGTATGTTCCGACTTTGTCTTTTCAACCGTTCTTCAGTGCTCATGCCCATCGTATGTTGAATTTGCGTAATCCTTATGACATGCCAGGTAGTTTTAGGATATTTTCTAAGTTACACAGTTAATTGGGTTTTAAGAGGTATTACTATCTTGCTTTTACCAACGAGTTTCTTCCCGACTAAGGTGACTTGCTTGAAGGATGTTCTTTGGTCATCTTAATTATTTTGTGTATCCTTGTTCCACTGGTATTCTTACCTTATTTTTAATGATTAATATCAAATCTTAAACTTAATTCTTTTGCCTGTAGTAGAAAACATATACATTTTATTAGTACTAGAAGAGTACTTGTGCAATGCAGTGAAATATATCTCGATTTTAATGGTTTATTTTATTCTTTGTCTCTGTCGATGTTATAATACAATTTTATGTGTTTTTAAAAAAACAATAATGATTTTATTTTTGAATAAAATATAAATTTGAAAAAAAAAATATGTCAATGTTAGTATCAAATCAACTATTTAAAAGTTCTCATTTTTTATGTAATTTCTTTAATTTATTTTTATTAAAATTTAATTTAAGTTTAATAATGAAACAATTTATTTTTGGTTTAATAATATAATGTTTTATAAAAATAATAATTAAATATTCTATTAGAACTCAACGATTATCTTAATTATATTTAGATTTTTTATATTTAAAATAAGATTTTTTATCTTGTATTTGATTATGTTTATATGCAGTTAGTTACACGAATTCAGATATGGAGCCTTAATAAGTTGTACTTACGCACAATCTAATTGTAATCTTGAGTTTTAAGTAATATGCATTAATAAACAGTACTTAAATGCATAAAAAATGGTTTTTAAGAGTTTTTGTCAAATGTTTTATAATATAGTATAGATTAATCCTTGAAAAAATAATTACTTAATTTAATATAAAAATTGCATAAATTTCATTTTAACTTTCAATCAAAAAAGGACCGTACAAGATGTTGACCATGTGATCTCAAACTTGTAATTCTAACATTGATATGGGAGAAAGGTCAATATATGATGAATCCACGTTTTAAACACTCAAACATGTGTAATTTGGTGAAAATGGGGATCTATTTATTTAAATCAAAAAGATTATTATGGTTTTGGAGCTTCTTTTGTTCACTTATGTTACTCGATGGAACTGGATGCAAGTTTGTTAGTGGTACGATAGATGTAAAGATAGGCTCGATGGAGTATGGTGTAGGCTCAATAGATGTAATGTACGGATTTGAGCTTTTTGTTGTATGTTTCAGCAGATATAAAGCTTGACTTCAAATATTTAAATATTATATATGACTTAGGATCTGCTTACCAAATTATATAAGGACTTGTTTTGTTAATATTCAAAACCGAAGAACATCTCCATCAACCGAAGTCATTTATTCTCTGGTGCCAACAAAAAACCTCCCCCCTTCCCACTCGGTTTGTTGTCACAACTGAACCCAGAACCAAAAACTTTTACCACAACCCAGACGGAAAAAAAAAACAGATCTGAATATCAACGGTACCTAAAAATATAAAGAAAAACTTAAATTTGAAATTTTTGCTTCTACTATGTATTTAGGGTTTAGATTTGATTTTTGGTTTGATTTAGGGTTTAGATTAATTTTTGGGCATGTAATATAAATTATTTAACTGAAAACTAAAAATTGTTGGTGGTGTCTGCGATGGTAGACCCAACTTTTTTGAGCGGATGCATCTTGAAAATGGATCAAATGCCTGTAAAGTTACGGGTTTGGTCGGAGAGAAAATCGACGCGGATTGATCCGAGGGAAAACCAATTATGTCGATTTTGGGAATAATACATTTTCTCAAATTGCA